AAACCCTCAATTCTGACGGTTCTCTTACCACCGCCAGGATCGAGGGATATCGTATTGGCCATTCCCAAAAAAAAAAAAAAAAAGAAAGAAAAAAAGAAAAAAAAAAGAAAAGAAAGCTTCCAAATGGATGTACAGTGTTGTGTAGTGGAGAGAGGGCCACAGTTCTAGCTGATAAGAAGAGCCATTGATGGGTTCAAATCTCCCACTGCAACCTTGGGCCTCGCTGCACGACTATTCAAATGCGCAAAATGAGACTGAATCTTCCACTAGAACATGGGAAGATACACGGTCATACACAGCCATATTTTTTATCTTTTGCGCATGTGGAGTGTGCGCATGTGGAGTGCGGCGAGTCCCATTGTTAAGCGTTTTCCCTTCGGGGCATCCATTAAAATTGGAACGATACAGGGAAGATTAGCATGGCCCCCGCCGGCCTGCGCAACCATGACACGCATCAATCAAGAAATGGTCAAAATTAGAAAAACAAGCCTAGGGACCTTGGTCAAATCGAAAAAACAAGCCTATGGGCCACACTGCACTACTTTTCAGATGTGGGAAATGAGACTGAATCCACTGCTAGAACATGGAAAGATACATTGGCAATCTGGAGAGTAGTGGAGCGAGGCCATATGCCCGCCACAGATGAAGTGGGGAGCATGAGGGGGGCAGGGGACGCAGGGCCCCAGCAAAGAACTGCACAGCCAGTCCCAGGAGCAGCCATAGGGCAGGGGAAAAAAAAAAAAAAAAAAGAAGTGGGGGAAGGGGTATCCTTGCAAAAAGAAAAAAAAAAGCAGCCGAAGGTATCTGACCAGAATCCCGTCTAAGGGGTTCGTTAGACACTCATTGGGGGTCCTCGGGGCCAAAGGAAGTTTCCTTCAGGGTTTTGAAGGAAATTCCCACCATCATCCCACCTAGCCTTGGGGTGGTCTCCCAGGGATGAATCCTTTCCATAGTCGGCGGCAGGGGGGGCCAATGCCTTGGTCCATTTGGTGATGTCCGTCTCCCTACTATGTGGTCCAGCTGCCGAAGGCAGGAACTTTTGAAGGAAATTCCCACCGCCATTCAACCTAGCCTTGGGCTGGTCTCCCAGGGATGATTCCTTCTGGCCGCTGGCGGCCGTTTTCATAATTATATTATAGTCTGCGGCGGAGGGGCCAATGTCTTGGTCCATTCCGTCTCGCTATGATGTGGTCCAGCTGCCGAAGGCAGGAAATTTTGAAACGCGCTGGCAACAGGAAAAAAAACACACTTTAAAAGCAATGGACCTCCCCAGTCGAAAATCGAATTTCGAATTGGGTGCTGGACAACAGGATGGCGATGCGGGGCAGGTGGCGTCCATATTGGCGACGGTGGAAACAGCAATTTGCAGCGGCACAGTGTAGTCTTCGTAAGTTGTCACCAATTTGTGAGCGCCCCCGAAGGTCTATCGCCATCGCCTGCTCTTGCGCCGTGCGTATGTGTTGAGTCGAGCACACGCGGGGAACGTCGTCGGCGACTTGGTGCTGAGGTTACCATGGTCGTGGCGAGTTGGTAGGCTGTGGTATTTTCGTGGTTCATGAGCATTGCAACACATGTCGTGTCGGTGGAGGACGGCAGCGACGACGGACCTGCGAAGTTCACGACGATCGAGAAGACGGCCATGACGACCATGACGGGTGTGCTCTTTCATTGTCAGCAGGAGAGGGCATTGGGCAGAATGAGAGTGCAGATCCACGCGCGGACGAGGAAGATGCTTCATCAAGTTCCGATCGAAGGGCTGGATACCGTAGCCCTCACTGAGGCTGTAGTTCAGGTTTCCTGCGCTATGGGTTGCAGTGTTCTTCCACGAGTGATGCCGAGATGGTGGATGAAAAGGAGGACGGGGGGGGGGCGTGGGCGGTTCTCAGGCAATGCGATGATGCGACTGAGGAGTGCTTCTAGGAGAAGCTGCGTATGTTCCCACGTGTCTTTTGGGCGATGGCGATCGCATCCAATGTGGACGAACGTCTACGGCACGTGCTGCCAATGTCGATGTTGACTGCAGTCGCTGTCGATCCCTCGTCTTCTTTGCTTGAGGCCTTCGATAGAGGTCGGTCATCAACGATAGAGAATGCACACGTGGAAAAGGAGGACCACGACAAACAAAATTGCGACTAGAAGCAGCAGTGGCAACCTTCAATAGAGGTTAGCCATCAACGACACGTACGACAGGGCAGTAATTCCACGATGACGATGAAGGTCTACCGAACGGCAACGATGAAGGGAGAAAACGGTAGAGGACATACGGTGTCGGGCTTACCCTCTACCTCTGGCCTCCGGCCTAACCCCCCCTTTTTTCGGAAAACAAACAGGCCGGTGGCTTGATTTTGCCCGAGATGCTTTAGTGGCGAACTGCCTAAGGGAAAACAGATCGGGTGCTAAGTTTGGGAATAAAGACGGCCTCCGCAAGGTCCCCTGGTCTTACCCCGTTCAGAAAGCAAGCAAACCCGTCACTTGATTCAGTTTGAAAACAAAAGGACAACTTCCACAAAATCCCTAGCCCGGACCCCCTCCAGAAACAAACAAGCCCCGCTGCTGGATTTATATTGGAAATGAAAAGGCAACCTCTGCAAAGTCTTCCCCCCCCCCCCAGAAACAAAACAGACCAGTTACTTGATATGGATCGTAAAACCCAAAGCCGCCGGACCACTCCCTCTTGAGGCCGAAAGACCCAGTACTTTGGTTGAACTGAAAACTGAACGGGAGCGGAGCTTGGGAACGAAACAGGGATTAAAAAAAGGGAGGGCTACAGTTCTCAAAACAGACTATGCCTTCGGGAAGAAGGCGACTCCCACCAGCCAAGCCTTCTTCGACCCGTTTACTTAGAGCGCCTCTGCCTCTCTCTCTCTCTCTCTCTCTCTCTCTCTCTCTCTCTCTCTCTCTCTCTGGAGCTTAAGGCCCAGGAAAGACCCGAGCAGGTCGCGTAAGCTGGAAATCGAGCGCTTCCTGGTTTGGCACAACCGAGTATCCGTAAGCAGGAATAGCTCAGGGCTTTTGGTCGGGTCTAGCTGTGAGTACAGGGCGGATTTCCTTCCCTTTTCCCCCTCCTTCTCTCTCTCTCTCTCTCTTTTCCTCTCGTACTCTTCATCTACCTCTCTCTCTCTCTTTCTCTCTCTCCCTCTCTGTCTGGAGCTTAAGGCCCGGGAAAGACCCGAGCAGGTCACGTAAGCTGGAAATCGAGTGCTTCCTGGTTTGGTAGAACCGAGTATCAGTAAGCAGGAATAGCTCAGGGCTTTCGGCCGAGTTTAGCTGCGAGTACAGGCCGGATTTCCTTCCCTTCTGCCCCACCTTCTCTCTCTCTCTCTCTCTCTCTCTCTCTCTCTCTCTCTCTCTCTCTCTCTCTCTCTCTCTCTCTCTCTCTCTCTTTTTTCCTCTTGTACTCTTCATCTACCTCTCTCTCTCTCT